ACCATCTTCATGTTAATGATGGAAGGCCTTTAGAGAGTTCATCACATGAATCTCCCTATCACATGCACTCATATTTCAGTGGAGGGAACTAAAGATTACGCCCTAGTTTAATTTAAGTCAAACCAAAGTGGCTCCCACTGGCTTTCATAAAGCTAGATTTAGGTGGGCCCTAAACGGCTAGGGTTCCACACGGTTCCTCTTGGGGAGGAAGCTGGTGTGGGGCCACCATGAAGGGAGATCATCCAATGATCTTAAGGACACCATGGCAATGATGTGCATTCAGCCATGGTGTACGTAAGAGCCACTTATCAAATCAACATGGGCTAAGTACTTATGTCCCATGAACGCAGCACATCACACATCCATACATCACATGCAAGAAAACCATAATTGATCCAATCAATTAAATAACTGTAAAACCCATAAATAAAGTCCATAAATTTTCATAATATTACTAATTAATATTATCTAGGTAGTTCGACCCATATAGCTTTTATGCTGAATTTAAGCAGTTTTAACAGATTAACATTGGGTTTTACAGATGTGGGCTGAATTGATTCTTGAAATTAATCATCAATTCCTGGACTCATATATGAAAATTTAGGGCTGAGAACAGCCCCCATCGAACCACAGATTCGGTCCAACCAGTTTGGTCTAATTTGGTTTGAATGGGTCTAGGGTTTGAATTTTAATTCAAGATTTAATTCAAGAATGATGATCTAAAATAAAATAACTGATACACGAAAATCAAGAATCATTAGGAGGGTGTTCGTAGGACTGCTACTCTGCAAAACAAAATTACATCGCAGTATGCAGTTTTCAAAACTGCAAATCGCAGATGCTGAACCCATATCTACGAAAATCTCTCCTCTGTGCTTTCTGCTTCATCTTCGAATGAAATAAAATAGAAAACCTATTTTCTATTAATATTACATCAAAATTGAATTTATATACATTCTGTCTAAAAATTAAAAATAATTAATTATAGACCAAGAACAAAAAGAACAGCAGGTGCACAAATTTCTTGCGCCATTAAAGAATTCGATCTCCACCGTATGAACAACCCAAAAATCAAGAAAAATACATAGAACAGTTATAAATATTAATAAGAATAATAAAGATTTAATTTCAGATAAATCACCCAAAACTGGGAACCGATTTCCCAGAAAATTGTTAATTGCGCAAATCGGGTAGAACGCCTTCTGTCCATTTGTGCAGATCCAGATCTGGTTTAATTTGGTTCAAGATTTGAACTTGGCTCTGATACCACTAAAGGGATGAGAGATCCATCATATGAATGCCCGAACCCTGCAGGAAGGTTGGGCAAATTTTCTAAAATTTCTCTCTCTCCCATCTAGGAATCACATTCCCTATTTTAGAAAATTGCATTTTCAAGGATCAATCTTGAAACAAGCCAGACCAGATCTGAAACCAAAAGGGAGGAGAGGGATATACCTGATATAGAGTGATAGTAAACCCTCAATGAAGGTGTTCACACCGAAGGAGAAGACCAAAGACTACTTCCACCGAAGATGACATGGTGTGAGGTGAAGTAGAATCAGTAGGACGATTCTTCAACAAGAACTGAATTCTTCAACAAGAATATGGTGGAGGGCCAGTGAGTACGACTTTAGATTGTCTCTTCTGGCAAAAGGCACTATCAAGAACCGTTCTTGATCACTCCCACTAGTGGAGATCAAACTGGGTAGGGCGGAAAGAGCAGGAACAAGAGCGAAAGACAGAAGCAGTCGAATTGTATGCTGTCTTCTCTCTCAATTCAGCAGACTATTTGTTTATCTGTTGTCTCTTGAGGGTTCGCCCTACTCTCCTATTTATAGCTTTAAAGATATGTTCTCCTAATCCTATTTGGAGTTTCCTAATCCAAATGTTTTATTTGGTTCTGGACTCTCTTTAAGAGATAAGGGTAATCCTTTATCTTATCTAAAGATAAAGATCAACATTCCTAATCTAATTAGGAGTTTCTTGATCCAAATCTTTATTTAGATTTTGACTCTTTGAGTGGATAGGGATAATCCCTTATCCTATCAGTTGATCCAAATCCCAGAACCACCCCTTAATTTAATTAATTTTATTAAGCTAGTTTGAATGGGCCTTAGGCCCATTAAGTCTATGTGCTCACTAATCCTCTTAATCTGCTGCCCAGTTGGTTATCCTTGTATGGCGTAGGACCCAAACATTGATCTACACATCAACCACATGGGTTCAGCCCAGCCTTTGTTACAAGGCCTAGCCGAATTCACTGTAGGAGACAGTGAACCCCTGAGTCCATCACCTTAGGCTCTTAATGGGCCCAACATTTACACTTAATGGTCCTTGTGTCAAGCCACCTTATAAAAACCCAAGGACTGTGGGCAGATGCAAGATTAGCTAATCAGGTATTACCCTCAATGGTCTTACACTTAACCTCTCAGCCCATAATGATCAAACACTGCCCGACAAGAGATGACCTCTCCCTTGGCTGCAAGGTACAGTGCTGCACTCTCTACTCACATGGATCCCGGCAATTAAAACCATTTGCAAACATTTTGAAATCATAATATATATATATATATATATATAAATATTTTGCAAAACAAATTTCAATAGTTGAAATTGACTGCCGACAGTTTTGGTTTCCATCAGAGAGAGTGCATCCCCGATCATTCACTTTGTCCAACAAAGGGGTTGATCCTGTCACTATGATCACCCACTCAGATGAATTCTTGGTCTGTCCCAACATACCCAGGTTTTGACCCCCTCTAAGGATATCACTGATTGGCATATCAAAGATAGCTCAATCTGATACGTAGTGTAGTATTATAATCAATTCTAGGGGTTAGGTGTAATATTCCAATTTTGCCCATCTATCTCCAAGATCTAGGACAATACTGGAATATTGGTCTGGTTTAGGGTTTCAAGAAAACCCATACTGCATGTACCTTAGGTCTCACCCTGGCAGCTAAGACAAGCCACCCCAACCAACTTGGTGACAGATCAGTGTCAGCGTTGGCAGGATAAATCTCCCCAGATCTATCCAACGGCTGCGAAGATTCTAAACTAATACGAGTCTCATATGTGTCCAGTTTAAGGGTATTACACAGAAACACACCATAATAACATGAATCAAATATGTATTTTATTCATTTACATTAAATTCCATAATGTACATCATTCTGATTGGAGCTAGGGGCATACACTGCTTAACACTATTGACAGTGTTTCCCTTCCCAAAAGTCTTGTAGAAGCTTTACTTATTCCTGAGTGGATAGAGGCAATGAAGGAGGAGATTAATGCCTTCACAAAAATGGCACGTAGGAGTTGGTAGATCTTCTTGAGGGAAAGGAGCATATGGGGTGCAAATGGGTATTCTCTACGAAACATAAGGCAGATGGCACAATGGAAAGGTACAAGGCCCAGGTAGTTGCAAAAGGTTTTACACATGTATATGGAGTTGATTATGCGGAAACCTTTGCACATGTAGCAAAAATAATTCTATTGAGTCCTTTCTTTAGTTGTAAATCTAGATTGGGACTTTCATCATCTGGACATTAAAAATGCCTTTTTGAATGGTGACTTAGAAGAAGAATTATACATGACCCAACCTCCAGGTTTTTGTGCTAAGGGAAATTAGCAGAAAGTCTATAGACTGAAGAAATCTCTATATGGCTTAAATAGTCTCCAAGGGCCTGGTTTAGTAGGTTCCACAAGATAGTTCAACAAATGGGCTTTAAGAAGTGCTAGTCTGATCATACACTGTTTGTGAAGAGAGAACAAGGAAGAATGGCAGGTTTGTGTATGTCGATGACATTATTATCACTGATGATTGGGACTCAGAGATACAGAGATTAAAGAGATTCTTGTCTACTTAGTTTGAAGTGAAGGATTTGGGGCCTTTACGTTATTTCTTTAGAATTAAAGTTGCTTGCTCAAATCAAGGTATCTTCATCTCCCAGAGGAAATATATTCTTGATTTCTTGAAAGATATAGGGAAGCTGAGCAAAACCTGCTGACACTCCTATAGATGTTAACAATAGACACAAAGCAATATCAAAGATTGGTGGGCAGAGTTCTCTACCTATCTATGATAAGACCTTAAATTGCGTATGCAGTGGGAGTCCTTAGTCAGTTTATGCATGCTCCCAGGACCACACACTTGGAGGTAGCATGCAAAGTTCTTAGATATTTAAAAAAATTCCCTGGGACTAGACTCCTATTTGAAAAACATGGACATATGAAAGTTGAGGTTTACACTAATGCAGATTGGGCTGGTTTTGTGGATGATAGAAAATCCACTAGTGGCTATTGTGTTTTTGTTTAGGGAAATCTTGTTACTTGGAGGAGTAAAAAATAAAGTGTGGTGGCCAAATCGAGTGCAGAAGTTGAATATAGGGCCTTGTCTCATGGTGTGGTAGAACTTCTATGGATAAAGATCCACTTGGGTGAATTGGGCTTTCCTTTCTGTGACCCTATGTCACTCTACTGTGACAATAAGGCAGCCATCAACATTGTAGCCAATCTTGTTCTCCACAATAGAACTAAACATATAGAGGTTGACACACAATTTATTAGGGAAAAATTGGAAAAAAGGAGAAGTCTGCACTCCCTACATAAGCTCTGAGGAACAATTTGCATACATTCTTACTAAAGTATTACACTTCATGCAGTAATATAATCTTTGTGACAAGTTGGGGATGATTGATATCTATGCCCCAACTTGAGGGGGAGGCTCCAGCTCGACATCGTATGCTAGCTTCACCATGCCCTTCAACGCCGTGTCATAGCACTTTCGTGACTCCAGCCGATCACCCCGTACTACCCACACTCCGTAACTGGTCGGGAATTTCATTGCAAGGTAGTAGGTCAACACCATTGCGCAAAGTGCATGCAGGATGGTCTGACCTAGAATCACGTTGTAAGGGGATGGGGTGGCGACCACAAGGAATGTGTGCTCGAATTGGATTGTATTGGGCCTTGCTCCTACTGCTACCGGTACCGAGATTCTACTGAGGGTCCTCACCACGTCTCCATTGAACCCGACCATGGGTGTCTGTCGGTCGAAGGTCTTTTTGTTCCAACTTCAACATGTCAAATGCCTCTAGGAATATAATGTCTGCAGAGCTACCTGAGTCTACCAGGATCCGCTTCACCTTGAAGTCACTGATTAACATTTTGATGACAAAGGCATCATTGTGTGGATACTGAATCCTGTGAGCATCATCGTCGATGAAGTAGATCACCTCCTCTTCCCGAGGGCACTTTGGCGGGTTCTCATATTCGTGCTCGATCTCCCGAACTGATGCCTTTCCCATTGCTGTGCTACAACCCGCTACAATCGACTCATCAGTGATCATATTGATCACCACACAGATCGGTCTCTCTTCTACCGGAGGATCTTGAGGTGGCTGATTGCGGTTGTTCCTACTGCTTGACTCTGGCGCGTCTCTCTGTTGTTTGGTAGGTCGGTGATCCATTTCTCTATTCTCGTACTTGATGAACTTCCTTAGATAACCTTGATGGATCAACTTCTCGATCTCGTCCTTCAAGCTGTGGCAGCTTTCAGTATCATGCCTGATGTCTCGGTGAAAGTGGTAGTACCGGTTTGGGTTCCTGTTTGCTGGGTCTCCTCTCATCCTGGGCGGCTACTTGACATAGCCAGTATCTTTGATGGACATTAAGATTTTGCTCGTTTGGCATTTAGGGTGGTGTAACTGGATCTCTAAAGCAGAGGGGTTCTAGATCGCTGACCTGACCTAGAACCCCGAGGTGGTGATCAGCTCTTTCTTTGCGACTTGCTTCACCTGTTGTGCGTTTACCCGCTTTTCTTCGATGACTTGCTCTTTTGCCATGGTTGCTTGCTACTACTCGGTTCTTCCTCTTCTCTCTTCCTTTTCCTGGCCTAGTGTAGCTCTAACCAAGACCCCAGAGCCTCTTCTGCCTTGATGAACTTATCGGCCTCCTCGAGGAATGCCCCCATGATGCTTAGCGGGTTCCAATCTAGGTGCCAACGAAGATCAGAATGGCGTACTCCTCTCTTGGCTGCAATGAGCTGCACGGCTGGGTCGAGGTTGGGTATCTATAGTCTTTTCGAGTTGAACCGTCTGATCTAGTCTCTCAGCATCTCATTTTCTTTCTGAACCACGTTCAGAAAGCTTGTCACTAACTTTGAACACTTCTTGCTGGTAGCAAAGTTTGTCATGAAGAGGTCGACAAACTGCTTCAATCTTCTGATTGAACCTGGAGGTAGAGTTCGATACCATAATCTCGCATCTTCTTTGGGAGTCATTGAGAAGGCCATGCACAAACTAGCTTCATGAGCTCCCGCGAGCAACATCAGGGACTGGAAGTTGTCTACATGATCATTTGGATCAGTGCTCCCAATGTAGGTCTCCAGGGTTGGCATCTTAAAGCTTTTTGGCCTTGGGGCCAATAGGATTTCTTGTGCTAGGGGGGAAGGCCGGATCAGGGGAATAGAAGCCGGTTTTTCTACTACCGAGCTCACTTCTTCCCTCCTTTTATGTCCTGCTGCTGTTGGAGCAACGCTGCTCTTACCCAAGGTGCGGTGTGCGCGTCGACAATGTAGTTTCTTTGCTGCTTTGTTGTTGGTTCTGTTCACCTCGGTATGAGCTGGAGTCTTAGGCATTGTCACAAGCAAGGAGTTGGTCTCTGTTTCTGACATTCTTATGGATGTGGGCTGGATCTTGCTGGCGGGGGGTGATAGGATGGGTCTCAGGCTGGACCCTCATCCCTCACTCCAAGCTATCGGCGGTTATTGACTTCTCTCTCATCCTGACGATGGTGTTGCTGATCATGCTGGTCATTGCAGTGTTGTTCATTGCGTGATCGTTGCTGCTGATTGCTTTGGTGGGTGCGCTACGACTGGTTTCTCTAATTGACTATTTGCCGTGGTGATGATGGACTGACGAATCGAACTGAAAGTCAAAAAAATATTTATATATATACTTTTTTATAATAAATATTATAAAGTCAAAAAAATCGAAAAACCGATGAACCGAACTGGTCAACTTGTTAACCGACTGGTTTCGGTTCAGTTCCAGTTACCGATTTTCTAAAAACCGGTACTACCGGTTCGGTTCACACAAAAGGCCCACGGTTCGGGTATTATTTGTAAGATTGTAAAATGAAAAGTCGGACTTAGGGTTGTCAATTGGTCTAAGATTTGGTCCAATCCGATCCTGTCCATGTAAGTCCATTACAAATGGACTAGGTCCAATTAAATGTCTGGACCATCCAATTTGTTCAATTTTTTAAGGGAAAATTTCCAATTAGTACCCTGTACTTTGGGCCTAGTGTCACTTTGGTCCTTGAACTTTAAAATGTGACAATTTAGTACTTGAACTTTCAAAACATGTCAATCCAATACCTACCATTAACCAACTGGTAATTGGCATTTGAAAAAGATACAAATGTCCTTTGAGTGTTATCCAGTTTTCTTTATCAACCATCCAAACATTGACAAAAATTAACAGTCCTAAATCCTTGCCTCTTTTTTTCAAGAAAGTTGGGGTCCAGAATGCCCATAGAGACGTGACCCCAACTTTCTTGAATAGAAGCAAGGATTTGGGATTGTTAATTTTTTGTCAATATTTTGATGGTTGATAAAGAAAATTAGATGGCATGGGCATTTCTGTCTTTTTCAAATGCCACTTAAGAGCTAGTTAGCAGTAGGTATTAGATTGGCATGTTTTGAAAGTTTGGGCACTAAATTGTCGCATTTTAAAGTTTGGGGACCAAAGTGACACTAGGCCCAAAGTACTAGGTACTAATCGGGAATTTTCCCTTATTTTTAGATTAATTATAACCCAAACCTGGTCCATTGACACATGTATTTTTATCTTCTATCAATGCACCAAATATTGGTTCAATCCAACCCAATCCAATATAAATTTATTACAGATGGACCAGGTCCAATCCAATCTAATAAATACTTTAGATCATTAAGTTTGGACTAGTTCAATTCAATATGTCTTGTTGGTTGTTGGTCTATCCAATCCATTCAAATTGAATTTGATTTGAATAGGGTCCAATCCAAAAGCGGTCCATTGACACCCCTAGAAATGTGGAAAAGAAAGCTTTATTTATTTGAAATAAGGTCATAGCTTAGGTAAATCTTAGACTACTTTAGATATCACAATAGTAATATTTTGAAAACTATTAGCATTTTTATTGATGATCTTTTACAGAATAATATAATTAATCCAATTGAATAATCCAGGGAAAATATTTTCTAGAAAATGATACATTTATTTATTTGGTGGTTGGAGATGTCCAATAAAATTGGTGGTGTTTTGTTTCATAGCTAGTGGTGTCTTATTGTAGTATAAGGGCCATTAACTATTTGTCCTTGATGGTGTGCGATTTGGTTGCTCTTAGCTGGATAGCAGTTCGAATGTAGGCCGCTTAGTTGGTCGATTTAATTACAAGATAGGAAAGCTCAGAGTACTTGGGTTGACTCACTTGGCATGGTTGCTTCAATGCATAAGCTAGTAATTGATTGTGTGAGTTGAAAGCTTGAGAGTAAGAGAGCTAGAATGCACTAAATCGTGTGTACCTTGTGCTATGGGGGTAGGTACCCTTACATAGTTGGGCTTCCGTGGGTCTCATAAAACACCTTTGAGATCCTCGGCTCGCGCTATTAGGAATTCATTCCGCACCGGGAGGTGGATATCGTGCAAGCCAATAAGGCTTATCATGTCTGTCCGATCCGGGCAGAATGAGGATAAGACTTACAGTCATGCGGCATGATCCTGAAGAGCTCAGAGACAACTGTCTTGCTTCTGGAGTCCGTTACGTGTTACCTCAGTAAGTTGGGCCATCCTGAGATACTCGGACCTCAGCCCTAGCTGAGGTACTTGTTCTTCTGAGGTGGCAGGAAATGCTAAGTCACTGTCCAATCATCAGGTTGCATCCACATGTCCACTATTTAATAGGTTGGGCCAAATCACCTCTCATCAATTGCTCCCGACTCCCCGTGCCAGGGGTCTTGACCCGGTGCGGCGAGTTCATGACGAGCTTAGGTGGGTTTTCCCTGGTCTTCTTCCGAGTTGAGGTCTGGTTTGGTGGTCAGACCACAATGACCCACCCGGCTCGATCGTGGAACCAGATCGAGTATCGGGGACGCACAGATGTCACGCAGATTACAAACTCCGCAGACGTCAAAACGTACGCTCAACTGATTTTGGCTTCGGGAGGCGTGCGACTAGTTTTTATGAGAGTCGTTGGATCACTTTGATCTAGACCGTCCAAGATTGACTACAATGCCTATAAATAGAGGGTCTTGGGTCCCATTTGCTTCATCTTATCTCACATATTTTCATTTCTTAGGTCGCACAGTTGCTTCCAGGTTAGTGATCCCTTGTCTCTTTCACCTGGTCACTCTTCATCTTTAGGTACGTTGCCTTACTTTGCCTTCGTTCCTTGCCTATTTCTTTTTCCTTCATTCCAATATGTCTAGTAATAGTAGTATAGTTAGCATGTTTGACATGAGCGGCGAGTCCGGTTGGGCCGAGGTGGGTACCTCGGTCCATGACACAGAGTTTGGTCCGACCGAGATGGCCATGTCAACCCATAGCTCGGTGTCCAGTCCAATCGAGGAGGGTGCCTTAGTTCAAGAGCGAAAAGCTTTTGGTAAAAAGGCTCCGACTTCTCGTTCTACTTAGGGTCCAAATCGCTTCGGTTCCACTGTCATGAAGTTGGAGAGGGTTGGGGCGCTGGTCGCCCACTTGAAGCTCCCTAATCACCTTGAATACAACCATCCATTAGAAAATTTTCCCTAGGAGCACGATGATGATGAGATTGCTGTCATCATGGTCCTTAATTTTTCGGTGTCATTATAGATCAGCTTCACCTAAACTCATTTTGCACTGTGGTCGACACCATTTCCTTGTTCCATGACTATACCCTCTCCTTAGATATAGACATCTTCACCTCACATTGCTCAATCAAGAGAAACCCTGTCGGCCTTCCAGGGGTTGACAAGTTTAGCTATTACATAGCTTACCAACCTGGGTACAAGTTGCTTCACAAATATCCTTCCAAAGTGTCGGCTTGGAAGGAAATGTACTTCACTATAATCGTTGAACGCTATTAGTGAAGGGATGAGAGATCTATCATATGGATGGTCGAACCCTGCAGGTAGGTTGGGTGAAATTTCAAAAAATTTCTCCCTCTCCCATGTGGGAATCACATTCCCTATTTTAGAAAACTGCATTTTCAAATATCAAACTTGAACCTAAACCAGACCAGATCTGAAACCAAATGGTAGGAGAG